CTCACTTCCAAGGAGCATTCTGGCTGTACTTCCTTCAGGACAGATTTGTTAGTCCTTCTAGCAGAGCAGTCCATGGTACTCTTAGCATTCTTCTCCAATACCACAACTCAAAAGCATCAACTCTTCTTCGGTTTCCTTATTCACTATTCAGCTCTCACATGCATAGGAGGTGATTGAAAATACCAAGACTTGGATTAGGTGCAACTTAATCTTCAAAAAGACATCTTTGTTCTTCATCACTTGAAAGAGGACCTTTGCAGCAGATTTGCCCAATCCAGTATGTCATCTGATGTCTTGACTGCTGCTTCCACTGGTGTTGATTGTGGAACCAAATAATATGAAATCTTTGACAACTTCAATCTTTTCTCCATCCACCATGAGGCTGTTTATTGGACCAGTTGTGAGGATTTTTGTTTTCTTTATATTGAGATGTCATCCATACTGCAGACTATAGTCTTTAATCTTCATCAGTAAGTGCTTCAAGTCATCCTCACTTTCAGCAAGCAAAGTTGTGCCATCTGCGTATCACAGGTTGTTAATGAGTCTTCCTCCAGTCCTGATGCCATGTTCTTCTTCATAATAATCCAGCTTCTCAGATTATTTGTTCAGCATACAAGTTGAATAAGTATGGTAAAAGGATACGACCTTGATGCACTCCCTTCTTGATTTTGAACAATGCAGTATCCCCTTGTTCTATTCAAACAACAGCCTCCTGGTCTATGTACAGGTTCCTCATAAGTCCAATTATGTGTTCTAGAATTCCCATTCTTCTCAATGTTATCCACAATTTGTTATGATCCTCACAATTAAATGCTTTTGCATAGTCAATAAAACATAAGTAAACATCTTTCTGGTATTCTTTGCTTTCAGCTATAATCTGACATCAGCAGTGATATCCCTCAATCCATGTCCTCTTCTGAATCCAGCTTGCATTTCTGGAAACTCTCTGTCAATATACTGTTGTAACCATTTTTTAATTACCTTCAGTAAGATTTTACTTGCTTGTGATATTAATGATATTGTTCAATAATTTCCACATTCTGTGGGATAAACTTTCTTTGGAATGGGTACAAAAATGGATCTCTTCCTGTCAGTTGGCCAGGTAGCAGTCTTCCAAATCTCTTGGCATAACTGAATGAGTCCCTTCAACAGGCTTCCATTTGTTGAAACATCTCAATGGGTATTCCATTAATTCCTGGAGCCTTGTTGTTAACCAATTTCTTCAGTACAGCTTCAACTTCTTCCTTCAGTACCATTGGTTCTTGATCATATGCCACCTCCTGAAATGGATGAATGTCGACCAATTCTTTTTGGTACAGTGACTCTGTGTATTCCTTCCATCTTGTTTTGTTGCTTCCTACATCATTCAGTATTTTGCCCACAGAATCTTTCAATATTGCAATTTGAGGCTTAATTTTTTCCTTCAGTTCTTTCAGCTTGAGAAATGCTGAGTGTGTTCTTCCCTTTTGGTTCTCTAACTCCAGGTCTTTGCACATTTCAATGTAGTTAGCTTTGTCTGCTCAAGCTGCTCTTTGAAATCTTCTGTTCAGCTCTTTTATCTTGTCATTCCTTCCATTTGCTTTAACTAATCTTCGCTCAAGAGCAAGTTTCAGTCTCTTCTGACATCCATTGTGGTCTTTTCTTCCTTTCTTGTCATTTTAATGACCTCTTGCTTTCTTCATGGATGATGTTCTTGATGTCATCCCACAATTCCTCTAGTTTTCGGTCATTCGTGTTCAGTGCATCAAATCTGTTCTTTAAATGGTCTCTAAATTCAGGAGGGATATTATCAAGGTCATATTTTGGCTCTCATGGACTTGTTTTAATTGCCTTCAACTTCAGCTTGAACTTACATATGAGCAGTTGATGGTCTCTTCCACAATCAGCTCCTGGACTTGTTTTGGCCGAAGATATTGAACTTCCCCATTGCCTCTTATCACAGGTGAAGTCAATCTGATTCCTGTGTATTACATCTGATGAAGTCCATGTGTATAGTTGTCACTTATGTTGTTGAAAAAAGGTATTTGCAATGAATAAGTCATTGGTCTTGCAAAATTCTATCATGTGATCTCCAGCATTATTTCTATCACCAAGGCCATATTTTCCAACTACCAGTAACTCTTCTTTGTTTCCAACTTTTGCATTCCAATCACCAGTGATAATCGATACATCTTGATTGCATGTTTGATCAATTTCAGACTGCAGAAGTTGGTAGAAATCTTCAATATTGAAATCTTCAGTATCCTCATGTTTGGCTTTGGTGGTTGGTATGTAAATTTGGATAATAGTACTATTAATTGGTCTTCCTTGTAGGCATATGGATATTATTCTATCACTGACAGCATTGTACTTCACTCTTTGTGACAATGAATGCCACGCCATTCCTCTTTGTCATTCTCAGCATAGTAGATCATATGGTTGTCTGATTCAAAATGGCCAACACCAGGCCATTTCAGCTCACTACTGCCTAGGATATAGATCCTTATGCATTCCATTTCATTTTTGACAATTTCCAATTTTCCTAGATTCATACTTTGTACATTCCATGTTCCAGTTATTAATGGGTGTTTACATCTGTTTCTGCTCATTTTGAGTCATGCCACATCAGCCAGTGGAGGTCCTGAAAGTTTTACTCTATCCATGTTATTAAGGTCATCCCTACTGTGAGGAGTCAACTCTTTTCCAGTCAAATTCTGAGTGCCTTCCGACCTGATGGGCTCACCTTCTGGCACTGTGTTGGGCAATGTTTCAGTGCTGTTCATAAAGTTTTCCAGTAATGTATCAGACATTGTTTCACTGCTATTCATAAGGTTTTCACTGGCCAATTCTTTGAGAAGTGGATGGCTTCTTCCTTCTTCTGAGTCTGTCTACGCCCAGAAGCTCTGCTGAAACCTGTCCATCATGGGTAACCCAGCTGACATTTTGCAACATGGTGGCATAGTCTCCAGCCTCACAGCAACACATAAGCCACCACAGGATGACAAACTGACAGACAAGTTCGTCTCCGTTGTTGTTGTTGTTATGTGCCGTCGAGTCGGACCCGACTCATAGCGACCCCTCCTTGGGTTTTTGAGGCAGTATCACTATGGAAGTAGATTGCTCAACTTCCTTCTGAGGAGTGGCTGGTGGGTTTGAACCGCCAGCCTTCTGGTTAGCAGTCAAGAACCTTAAGCACTAGCTACCAGAGCTCCCTTGTCTCCCTTAGTTGTTCCTAATCTCTCTGCATCTGCCTACCTCAGGCCTTAATATAGAGCCATCCCCAAGCAAAAAGCAGCCTTCAAGCCCTTTGCCCCTTTGAGTGCTTAGCTGTGCCCAAACAACTCTAAACTTTCTTATATTAACTCTATGAGTTTATGGAGTAACATATTTGGTGATACCCTCATTGAATCTTCTTGACTTTTGTTCCTTTTATTTGCACTCAGCAAGTTATCTACCAGGGATTGATAATGGAAAATAGATGTGAAAGTCAACCCAGCCCTTTTTATTTCTTGGTTTTTTAAAAAGGAGACATGTGTTTGGCAGAGGGCCAGCAGTTAGATATTATTAGAACTATTTGGAAGAGGATTAAAGATGAAATTTAAAAAAAAAAAAGTGTGTGATTTTTTCATTATCAATGTCATCATTACCACAGATGATGGCCTTAAGGTATGTCCTCTGCACAAGTGAAGTGTCTCACAGAGGCATCTTGTGAAGGCAAGCTTTCAGAAAATGTATAACATTTCTTAATATTGGCCATTTTCCTGCTCTGTGACAATTATAAGCCTCAGTATGCAAAGTGCTCAGGACCAGAAACTTTGTCAAAACCTCTTGATCAGGCAGACTTGAACACATTATTTTCTAGAATTAACTGAAAAGAATGCAGGACATTTGAGAGCATAATTGTATAACAATAAGGTAAATGTACTAAACCAATGGACTCATGTTAGTATTCATATTATGCAAGTTAATAGGGTAGAATATTTATGCTAAAGTTATATTATAAAACTTTATCATAAAATTTTATGATAAAAAGAGTATGTATGTCAAAAATAAGAGAAAATGTGAACTGTTATGTACACTATAGTGTATATGTCAAAGATGTCTGCAGGTAGGACAAAGAGTAAAGGTGGTGTGTAAAATAAAATAGTAATACTGGGTTGACTGAAGTGATGACTGTTTTTTTCCCTCTCTAATGATATTCTTTGATATGTTGTCATTATGATAAATATAATTGAAGGGAAAGAAAAGAAATGAAGTTTTCATACACAGAATATTTTCTACAGCTATTTAAAAAAAAATGTACTTTCCACTCATTACCTTTTTGTTTTGTTTGTTTTTGAACGTTTTATTGTAGTTTGGGTGAAAGTTTACAGAACACATTAGTTTCCCATTCAACAATTTATACACATTTTGTTTCATGACGTTGTTTGCAGTCCCTTCAGTGTAGCAGCACTCTTCCTCTTCCTCCCTGAGTTCCCCATTTCCATTTGCCCACATTTCCTTCCCCTGCCTGCCTTCTGAGCTTTGTTTTTGGGCAAATGCTGCCCTTCTGGTCTCCTACATTTGATTGTATTGAGGAGTACATTCCTCCCTGGTGTTACTATTCACTTTATAGGCCTGTCCATTGTTTGGCTGAAAGTTGATCCCTAGGGTGGGTTCACTTCCAGGCTTGAAGGGTATCTGAGGACCACAGTCTCAGGGGTTCCACCAGTCTCTATCAGACCAGTAAGTTGGGTCTTTTTTTATGTTTTTTAATTTTGTTCTACTTTTTTTAAAAAATTCTGTTCTGCTTTTTAAAGTTCTTCTCTGTCCAAACTCTCTATTGTGATCCTGATTGATCAGAGTGGTCAGTTCCCCTCGTACCTGTTAAGATGTGATTTACAGACTTTTGGAGGTCATCTTAAGTGGTTTTTTGTCATTAAAATAGGTCTTTTTTTTTTTTTTTAATTTTTCCATAGAAATGTATACTGGAGAACTCAATGATGTTCCTCTTTTCTTTTTCCAATCCCTGTTTTTCTTAGGGATTGCCATTGGAGTCTTGGTTCGAGAATACAGCAAGCTTTCTAGTCTGGAGAAATTCTACTTTGCTTTTCCTGGAGAAATTCTCATGAGGATGCTGAAACTCATCATTCTGCCATTAATTATATCCAGCATGATTACAGGTATCTGTAAATGACTGACATTCTCTAAGATTATTTAAGGTCCCTTCAACCTTCACATAAGTTGTTCTTTTCTAATTATGGCAAAATTTAAATGCATTAGATGCATGTGTGTGTCTGTCTCTCTCACCCTACCTCCCTCTCCCTCTCTCCTGCTCCCTTGCTCTCCTTTCCTCCTGCTCCCTGTCTTTCTGTCTCTCTTTCTTTCTCTCTCTCTCTGTCACGTGCACACACACACAAACACAAATGCACACATACTTCTCACTTGGAAAGTGTATAATTGCTTAGTAGAAATATCTCATTACTCACAAAGTAGCATTGCTTTGTGGCATAGCTATGCCTGGAGTGCTGTCCACCACAGCTCGAGTGTCCATTTGACCAGCCACATGAAGTCTTGTGAGGAAGATGCTATTTTCAAATGTATTATAAATAAAACTCTACCCAGAGCACAGGAATCAGAAAGAGGGTATCTTTTGCTAATGTCCTAAGGCAAAATGTGGGTGTCAGTTTTGACCATAGTTTTTTGTGTCTTAAACTTGGCCAGCCTGTGGCAGCTCAGAAGCTGCACTCAGGGTCCCTCCCCTACTTCTACCCGTCCACGGAAGGCAGAACTTGCTACATACAATCCCTGGGATTTGCCACAGGGACCAGCAGACAAGTTCTGTGGGAGAGGTTTGATTACAGGTTTGGACCGTATTAGAAAAGCCTCGTATCTTTAAATCTGAACTTGGGACACCATTGACTTTGGATGTGATTTTTTCCCTTATTGATCATTATACTGCAGGGTTCCTTTAAAGGGCACGCTCCCTTGTGTAGATAGAGATTCCTTTGGTTTACAGATATGTCATCTGCCTGGGTATGGCAAGCTTCACGTAGAACATGTGCATCCTGGAGTTTCTGATATTTATCTTAATTCTGGTAGTAGGTAAAATATGGTGTGATAGCCATTAGTGCTGTTAACTTGAAAATAAAGGTTTATATAACAATGCAATTACCAAAACCAAAAGTCAATTTCAAATCATAGTGACCCTATAGGGCAGAATAGAACAGCCCATAGGATTTCCAAGGCTCACTTAGTTTGGACATGTTGTCAGAAGGGACCAATCCCTGGAGAGGGACATCATGCTTGGTGAAGTAGAGGGTCAGCAAAAAAAAAAAAAGAAAAAAGAAAAAAAAAGGAAGACCCTCAACGAGGAATTAAAACAGTGGCTGCAACATAGCAATGAGTGTGAGGATAGCACAGGACTGGGCAACATTTTGTTCTGCTATAAATGGGGTCACTGTGAGTCAGACCAATTTGACAGCAGCTAACCATAACAACAACAGTATCTTTATGGAAGCAGACTGCCATATCTTTCTCCCAAGGAATCCTGGTGGATTTGAACTGCTGACCTTTTAGTCAGCAGCAGAGCACTTAACCACTGTGTCACCTGGACTCCTTATCCATGCAACTGGGAATCTTAAAATCTCCCTTTCTAGAACATTTTTCTCTACTACCACTGAAGAGACTTGGGGCTGATCTGTGGAGTACTAGACATTGGCTGGTGGAAGGGAGAAGGGATATCAACCTCTGCTACATTCAATAACTACATTGCATGAAGAAGTATAGTGTTGAGCCATTGAACTTCACATGTGGCAAACACAGTCAGACTAGAATGTCTTAGGGAGCCTTGCTCGGGTCTTGGTGCTCTTGGCTTATTAGAACACTAAAGAGAATACTTAATTATTTTTATTTGTATATTTAGGCATGCTGGGAAATTCCTGGCTTCCTTTAGGCCTAGCAGGTTGAGGGCCAAATCATCAGACCAGTTGTTTGTCCCGTAGAGTGTTTATTTAAGGAACCCTGGTGGCCCAGTGGTTAAGCACTTAGCTGCAAACTGTGAAAGGTCAGCAATTTGAGTCCACCAGTGGCTCTAGAGGAGAAAAGACCTGGCAGTCTGCTCCATAAAGATTACAGCTTAGGAAACCCTTTGGGGCACTTATACTCTGTCCTAGAAGGTCACTATGAGTCTGTATCAACTCAATGGCTCACAACAAAAACAAGTGTTTGATTTTATATTACTGTATTTAGAAATTGGAAGATTTTATGTAAAAGTCCAGACTTTTGGCTTCCTCTGGAAAAAAATTAAGATCTGGAAACATTAGATCCATGTTCCCTCATGGTAGCAATGGTCTGGAGCTGAGAAATAGCAGCTTCTTTAATTAGAGCAAATTTATTTGAGGATGCCTCAGTTCTCATCATTCTATATTACCTAACACCTAGTCCACTTATTTCTGTTACCTGCCTGGCTCCTGTAATATAGCAACTCCCTAGCATTTTCTCCTTATCCGAGATTCTTAATTTTTTCTTAGGCTCGTTTAAGCACTTAATGAAAGCTTTGTACTCTCTTGAGAAAAACATTCACACTTATACAAATATACAGTATTTGTGCATGTAGTTGCACAAAGTTCATAAACCCCCTGATAAGCAATGCTATTTGATTTTCGTATCTGAAGCATGGAAGTTTGATTTCAATCAGGCAGCAAATCCAAAAAAGAAACAAAACATATAGTAGACCAAAACCAAAACCATATTCACTGCCGTGGAGTCGGATCCGACTCATAGCAAGCCCTCCTTGAGTTTCCCAGGCTATGTCAGCACAGAAGTCAATTGCCCAATCTTCCTTCCAGGGAACAGCTGGTGGGTTTGAACTGCTAGCCTTCTGGTTAGCAGTCAAATACATAAGGCACTACACCACCAGAGCTCCCAAGTTTTAAAAAAGGTAAATATATATATATATATATATGAATATACTAATTCTGTAATATGGTGTGTTTGAGATGCACTGCTCTTGGCAGTCAATGACTAGTGGGATTTTTTGCAATCTAGCTGTCTTGTGTGCTAGCTCAGCCTTGCAGATAATCTAGGAAAATCATTTACAACCATCAGCATTCCACTCACAGAGCCCAGCTGCTTTCCTAAGCTGTAGCACAGGTCTGGTTGTCTCTGTGTTTACCGCAACAGTTGGACAGGAGCTACAGAGAGAGACAGAGTCATTGGCCATTCTTCCAATGTGGAGCAATGAAAGAGGCCAAAGCTTCAAGGGAGGTAAGCAAAGCAGGATAGTGCCAGTGAGGCTGCTGCTGTTGTTGCATTGAGTTGTCTCCGCCTCATAGCGACCCCATGTGACTGAGCAGAACTTGCCCCTTAGGGTTTTCTAGGCTGTGATCTTTTTTTTTTTTTTTTTAAACAACAAATATGTATTGTCTCTCAGTTCTGGAGGCTGGAAGTCTGAAAGCAAGGTCTCGGCAGGGCCATGCTCCCTCTGAGGCTCTAGGGGAGAGTCCTTCCTTGCCTCTTCCGGCTTCGGTGGTTGCTGGGGATCCTTAGCTTGTGGCGGCACCACTTCAATCTCTGCCTTTTTTGTGTATGTCTAAGGACACTTGTCATTGGATTTTAGGAGTCCCTCAGTGGTACAATTGGCTAATAGATCTGGTAGCATAGTGCCTAAGGCATTTGATGACTAATCAGAAGGCTGGCTGTTCAAACCCACCAACCACTCCTCAGAAGACTGGGCAATCGACTTCCATAGAGATACCGCCTCTGAAACCCAAGGAGGGCTCGCTATGAATTGGAAATGACTCGACAGCAGTGAATTTGGTTTTTATTTTTTTGAAGTGATACCTTGGAAGAAAGCCTTGGTAACCTACTTCTGGAAGATCAGCCAGCTATCAAAAATCCTATGGAGCACAGTTTTATTCTGGCGTGTGGGTTTGCCTTGAGGCAAGATGATTCCATGGCAACTGTTTCTTCTTTGGATTTATGGTCCATGTAGATAATTCAGGATTTACTCATCCCAAGATCCTTAATTTACTTATATCTGCTAAGACCCTTTTCTACAAATGGGATCATATTCACAAGTTCTAAGGATTGAATATAGATACATTTTTGGTGGGGAGGAGGCTAACATCCAGCCCATTACAAGTGACAAATATTCCATTTCTTCATTCCTTTTATGTATTGTATTCTAGTTTATTCTTTCTCCCCTCCCTTTAAAAAAGAAAACTTTTTATTGTGATTTAGGTGCTGTTTTGCAAAGCAGATTCATTTCATATTCGACAGTTCATAGACATTTTCTTTCATGACACTGATTACAATCCCCGCAATGTATAGGCTGTAATCTTTATGGAAACAGATCTCCAGGCCTTTTTCCTGTGGTGCCCCTTGTGTGGGCTCTAGCTGCCACCCTTTCAGTTAGCAGGCGAACACTTAACCATTGTCCCACCAGGGTATTCATATTTAAATTGTCCAATTAAAAAGAAAGAGCAGTAATATCCAGTGCTGGCAAAGTTGGGAGAAAATGGGCACAGACATACATTTTCAGGTACTGTGTAAATCTGAACTAACTCTCTGGAGGGTAGTTTGGCACATGTTCTGATCCATCTGCCTAGTAATTCCACATCTGGGAATTTATCAGAAAGGTAAAAAAAAGCAATGAGGTAATCAAGAATACATAAAAGGATGGTCATGGTAGCATATTTTTTAATAATGGTGATAAATTATAAGCAACTTAAATGTGCACTATATCCATAAATTAGGATTAAAAAGCTAAAAACCAAAGCCATTGTGTTTTAGGTATTTCCAACTCACGGCAACCCCATGTGTTACAGAGTAGAACTGAACTCTGTAAGGTTTATGTGGCTGTCATCTTTACAGAAGCACATTGGCAGGCCTTCCTTACACAATGCCATGGAGTGGGTTCTGACTACCAACCTGTAGGCTAGTACTCAAGTGCCAACTGTTTGTGCCACCTAGGGACCTTTATAAATTTGGATGCTACCTATTAAAACCTTGTTTGGGAAACCAGAAGCATAAAGCAAATTACACAACAGGTAATAGTAAAAAAAAAAAAAATACAACAGAATGCTAAGAACAATTCCAATTTTATTAATACTTGTATACGTTTTTTAAAATTAGGTCAAAGCCAAAAGGTGAACTCTGGTCACATCTGGAGGATGAAAAA